TGTTAATCTCGATCTCCAGGTCCTTATACTTGGACTATTTCTCGATAATTTTTATGAAGGTGTTTCTCTCAGTTGGTATTACTATTATTATTATTATTATTATTTTTGTTGTTGTTGTTTTTGTGCTATATTTCCTGCTTTGTATCCTGTAGAGCCGGGTCCAAACTATGGCCCTTAGGCCCTATAGGAGAATTGTCATTTAACTGATAGCATTTTTTCTTAGTACATGGGAGGTGTTTCTCTCAGATGGTGTTGGTATTATTATTATTATTATTATTATTATTAGTAGTAGTAGTAGTAGTAGTAGTATTTCCTTTGATTTCTGTGGTATACACATTTCCTTCCGGGTCCCAACTAGAGAAGCCGAAAAGGCTTCATGACATTTTATACTGAATATTTATTGGAAAAATACCCTAAGTTCACACACATTTTACATTCTACACTTCGTAATGTGTGAGCTCAAATAGGGAGCACAATTTTTGAAGTGATTCCTGGTAGCCTATGCCTTAATTGGCATAGGCTATCAGGAATCATTTCACTGAATCTATCGGAACAATTTCAGTGATTCCATCGGAACAAATTTCCAATGAATCCGAGGGCTCCAACTACAACTGGAATTATTGATGTCCTCATGTGCCACATATCTGAGATTTACAGACCAAGACCCCTGTTTTTTGATAGTCTTTTTTAAGATCTTCAAAGATACAATACAATCTGCAGGGACGACCATATCAATAAGAAAGCATATTCATTTTTCATGGTCTTAGATCACGATGTTTAGGCGATTAAATTTGATTGTTTTTTTTTTTCTCTGTGTATTGTATAGTTTCATAAAATTGTTACAGGTCCTCTGTCTGTAACCGGCTCTGGGTGATGTTCATACTAGTTTCTTGCGGTTTCCTTCACGTAAACGTTGCATATTTTCCAGCGCAGATATTGGCCCACTCTATCATGAGATTTTTATTCAGGGTCTGTGCAACCTGATACAAGATGGTCAGTTGTTTCTGGATATTTATCACATAATCTGCATTTAGGTTCAATACATTTTTTCCGAATGTGTGCTTGGTAATTTCTAGTTGACAATCATTGGTCCTGTGTAGCAAGATTAAAGAACTGCGGTCTCAGCTTTTAACCCTGCACTATGTAAAAGATGATGAGCACGCAGTTTGTCTACATCAGCTTGTTTGGTACGGCAGAGTATTGACCATAAAAAGGCTTATCTTGTCATCGTTTCAGCATTTGGTACATTTGCATTTGTTTTATTTTTATTTCTTTTTGTGTTCTTTCCCAATGCAGTAGATGTCTTATAGTTTATTTTCACGTCTTCACCCCACTTAAAATTGTTTTTTGAATTTGTCGGCTTCCCTTATTGCTGAATAAAATTTATTATTTCTTTAATGTTCTTTGATAACGATCATCCAGTCTTCTTTGATACAGATCATCTAGTTTTCTCTAGTTTTCAGTTATCTTTGAAGAGCGATAGTTGTGCTTTTGCAAGCCAATTCTAGTTGAAATAATCCTCCACCTCCTTCGGATCTGGGTACATGCAGACATTCAACATCAGTTTTTGTTAAAATAAACGAAATTTAAAGAGTATTTTATAATGTCTAATGGGGCTGAACATTATTTTTATGCTTAGATGCATTTAAACTGATCAAATTCTATTTCAGAGAACAATAAAATTAAATTTTGTTTGATTAAAATCCTGCTAACATGGAAGTACCCAAGAATCATTTGAGGCACATAATGCTTTATGAGTTAAAGAAAGGAAACTGAGCAGCCGAAGCGGCTAGAAACATTCACTCAGTTTATGGAGAGGAATGTGCGAATGAAAGAACTTTCAGAAGATGGTTTACAAAATTCAGTGGAGATTTCACCCTTGAAGATGAAGATCGAACCGGACGTCCAGTTGAGGTTGATGAAAAGATTCTTGAAGCAGCCCTTGAAGAAAATCCTGCTTTATCAGTTGAGGAATTGGCAGTGGTTCTCACTTCGAACCATACAACTGCTCATCGTCATCCTCAACAACTTGGTAAAGTTCCTAAACTTGGAAAATGGGTGCCTCATGAATTGTTTGAAAACAACCTCAAATCCCGAGTTGACATCTGCTCTTCTCTCCATTCTCGCCAACTTGTTTCACCTTTTTTGGAGAGACATGAGACTGGCGTCGAAAAGTGGATCTTTTATCCAAAGGGAACTTCGTGGGCAAAAGTTTCTTCTTTCAATCCGGTGGGATCTACAAGGAATAATCCACTTTGAATTCTTACCATCTAATGCAACACTTAATCCTCAAATATAATCTCAGAAAAGAGAGCGTTTGAACCAAGCTTTGAGGAAAAAAAGACCTGCTCTAGTGAATCGAAAAGAGGTGATGTTTCATCAGGACAATGCGCGACCCCCATTAGCAAGAATCACGTCACAAAAGATCGAAGAACTTGGTTGGGAAAAATTCCTCATCCACCTTATTCTCCCGATCTTGCTCCTTCAGACTACCATTTGT